AATGAAACTATCTGGATGAGTTTGATTTTTGCAAAATAATTAAAGTAACGAAATTTTTTTGATGAAAAGTTTGAAAATAATCATTTAAATGAAATTTTTTTCATTTTTTTACTCCCTGGGTAAGACCGTAAGTTCCTGTAGATCAAGAAGGGATGTAGAAACGAAAAAGAACTTTTCATCCGTAACAAATAGCATTTTAGAAATTACCTGAAACAAGAGTATTACTTTCGACAAGCCAATTCACAAAATGCTTTATCTTTTCAGGATCAGCTCGCTGTCTGATAGATGGTTCACTGTTTCGTGTCAGTATATACTGTTGTTCATCGTACATTCGGTGAGCTATTTTAATTGCATGTCGTGAGCAGCCGAAGAGTTCCATAGTTTTTTCGTAGCTCCATGAGCGAGGCAACAATGACAGAAGTCGAACATGTTCGATATAAGGCATCTTTTGTTCGACATATAAGTCATAGATCTTTTTAAGATTTTTGATCACCTCATTGTCTGTTGCTTGATTAAGAACTTCAGTATTGCTAACCTGTGGATCAAGCTGCGATATTTGTAGTAATTGGTCACCTTGACCAGAAGCAAGTGCTTCAGCCATTTTCTCTACAATTCACGGGTACACAAAAGCACTTAATATGGGAACTCTTGATCGCAACGTACTCTGTATTACTCGCACTGTGTTGTTTAGTTTTGAGGTGATACGGCAAAGACCACTGTTTGAATTTCGGTCCAATCTTTTTCTTGTTTGAGAGCGAATAGGGCTCAAATTGACTTGTGCCAGAATACGATTCATCAAAGCACGTGAATCATCAGTCACAAATTCAGATCTACCTGTGGTGCCCGAGTAAGCTGTAATAGGACCTACCGAGACATCGTCTGGTATCGCCAACGCTTCTTTTCTATGTTTTGTGCATAGTCTAAAAATTAATTTAGTATAATATAACAAAATCAGAAAAATGGATAGCGCTACCTCCCACCGACAGGAAAGCCTTCAATCTTGGCACAGATAGTTATATTAGCTCTACGACAATCACGAGAGGAATAGTGATATTCGGAATCATGATCACGATGATGACACGTAGATTTTGAGTCGTACCAGTCAACTCCATATGAGCTTCGATGTTTTGGACATATTGTCATAGAATCGTCAATTAAAATGTCTTTTGCGCGTAACCTGTTAGCAATAAGATTTCTCTCATTCACAATTAATGTGTCCTCTTCTATCCTAGAAATAACGTTTTTGCGTTTGAGATATGACCTTATATCTATATCTCTCAGTGTAGAAAGACGAACACATGTTGGTGTCCAATCAGGGTAATCTGTTAACAAACAAAGTTACATTGATCCAAATAGTAAAGACTATTTACGACGTGAGGTTCCACCACAGATAGTGACGTTTGGGTTATCCCAAAGACAACATTCATTATAATTGCGTATTATCGACTTAACGTGACTCCAAAGATCATGATTACTGTATTCACTTACTTCATCAGAATTCAGGAGATCTACAACTGTAAAACCTCTAAATGATTTTATTCCTTATATGAAACAAACCTTCGAACGTATTGTGTATCTGATGTCTTTGTTTTGTTTCATCTTCCTCCTGAGAAAATATACTAACGTATGGTGGAAACATAGGTTCACGACCAGTGAAGATGTTTGATGCACTGTTATCACTATAAACAACATTAGCATTCTGTTCATCATCTTTACGAAGACATATTGGAATGCTGCACGCAGTATCCATCAATGACTTGCACGATAACATTGACACTTCGTTTACTTTTTCGTATCCAGCATTGATTAAAAGGTTGTCCGAAGTCGACGAGTAGTCGCTTCTAGTAGTTGTTGTCTCATCTCTTTTGTTCGAAACCGAAGACATATTGTAACTTGATCTATGTTGAGATGAGTTTAGTTCAGAGCCCGATAAAGTAGTCGATATCCTGTCGACCGATGCCACTGTAAACGAAGAAGAACTATATGGAATCATTAATTTGAAAGAAATAGCATTATTCTCCTCAACAGAATGACAATCATTTCATATAATCCCAATAGCAGTTTATCAAAGAACAAAAAAATACAAAATATCTGACATAAAACTTTTCTTATAAACCAGACGAATTCATCTGTTGCTCAAGTAACAGCCGAGCCATTTGCGCAAATGTTGGCGCTGTCATAGTTGCTCGTTCGTCTGCTTCACTATCAACTGGTGGCTAAAAAACATTCAAACAATTATCAAAATATCTATTTATTTACTTTTCTTACCATAGGCATAAATTTAATAAAATCATCATTATTCGTTGGTCTTCGACTATGACCATTTCGAGACGCAAGAGTATATGCTACAACTTCTCCAGCTGCTTCACTCGAAAATGTCTATAAAAAAAATCTTTTCCAAAAAAGAAAATCAATGTCTTAAACGTACAGTAAATGGAGTAGAAATATTTGATCCTTTATTAGCATCATTAGTATCAAATTTTGCAAGAAGCATATTCGTTATTGGATCTTAATAAAATAATGAAAAATAATTAATAAAAGTAAAATTTTCTTCATACTTGGAAATGAATTTTTAAAACGTATTTGTCTGGTTGGTAAACTCCACCAAATACAATCTTTATCAAGACTACCAGAATATAACATTTGTTCATCTGCACTCAATCGAAGTGATATAACAGAATCACTAAAAATTCGCCACAAAATGATCATTTTAAACAAATTTATAATTGTTATTTACTGATGATGAATTAATTGTTTGGAATTAGTATTATTAATTATAATTGTTGGATTTTAATGTTGAAATTCTCCAAACTAAAATTTCATTCCTTAAAAGTGAATTCAAAAGATTTTTTCTTGTCATTTACTTGTGTTAGTAATCTTCGTAATGGAACAATAAATATAGTACCCATATCAGTACCACAATAAATTGTTTTTGAAAATGATGATACACATATTGAATGAATTTCATTTGGAAACAAAAATGTACATAAACATGTTCCTGTAATAATATCCCATAACTAAATTTAAAACCTTATTTTTGTTTGCTTGGAAAAAAATATTCAGACATACTCGAACACTAAAATCACTTGAACCAGTTAAAAGTAAATGAAATCTACCAATTAATATTTGACAAAGATCATGAATAGGACCTGTATGACCTTGAAATGATT